TCGCCTCGCCCTAACACATTTTCGTAACGCGTAACGCATTCGCCAGCTTACCCCCCAAGTCAAGCGTGCGTAAACAAGTCACTTCAAAAAAATCTTACCATAACAAAACCGCAAATGCGGCATTAATTTCATCTATAGTCTCTAGGTCGTAAACGAAATGAGTTACAGAATTGAAATTTTGGTATTTTATGTAAAATGTTTGCCCAAAGCCGAATATTAGTTAAAACAAGGAATATAGTTGAAAAGGAGACGAAATTGATTTTTTCTTACCATAACAAAACCGTAAATGCTGCATTAATTTAATCTATATTTTGAAGTTGCAAAATACACAATACTAAAAACTTGACATTATCGGGCAGCTAGCTTCCAAAAAGCGCTTATTGTATTCCAATAAATGGTTAACTTTGTCATTGTAACAGTCACGTTGTCCCGCAAAGAATTACGATAGAACGATTCTTGTTTACTTCAAAACAATAAACAATGGAGACCTCTCGGATTGTTCGGCTAACAAAAGGGGCCCAAACAAAGATCGGAATTAATATTGTGATGTTATATAACGTCTCAATCGGGTGTACTTGCGATAAGATAGCTGAAAGATCTAAATAGTCGTCGTCGCTCAGCTCAAGAGATTAATTGAACTGTGTTCCAAAGTTTTAATTGAACACGCAAAAAGATTGTATCGTCATTGTTAAATATACTTTTAATCATATGAAGGTTTGATTAACGAATTGAAATAATTGAATTTTATCATTCATATTCATCCCCTTAGTAGAACTAATACCAACATTGCCCTACTGAAGCAGACTTATGTCCGATGGGTGTATTCTTCAGTTCACACCACCCCCTATCAATTAGCTATGTCTTAAGTAATCTCTTATATAAGCGATAAGCCGCACCATCCATCTGGGAGATTAATACTGGCCATACGCCGTTAAGCAGGCGGACTCGGTCTTGCAACGCTAGCTTTTAAATATATTACTCTATATTGATTTTGTGAGAGCTGTATACCCAATGATATAAGAGTACTAATAAAAAGTAAGTATATTATACTTAACAAGAATAAAAAGGGTAAAACTGCGCTACGGAACGCACAACAGGGCGGATGCGAAAATGCGATCGAAAACGTAGCGGTAAAAATGTAACCCTATTGCTGTCACTGTCGTCGTGTCTGTCTGTGCGTATGTCAAGGGTCTCTAGGTCGTAAACGAAATGAGTTACAAAACTGAAATTTTGGTTTTTTATGAATTTATGATGAAAAAAAAATTCTTGCCCAAAGCCGAATATTTAGAATACAGATATTAAGTTAAAACAAGGAATATGGTTGAAAAGGAGACCAAATTTATTTTTTTCATTTTCCCCAGCATGTGTAGTTCGTTGAGTAGAACATAATTTTTTTATTATTTTTTATTTTCAATAACGAAAAAAACGGGGGGCCATCAAAGTTGTAAGACCATATTTGTTACGGGGTCTATCTTAAAATCGAAACGAGTTAGGAGTGTGAAATTTTGGTATATGATGTCCCATATGCTGTATTTAAACAACAAATACTGGAAACGCAAATTCATAATGTACTTTGTAAGTTATGACGAAAACAAACAAATGACTTTTCCTTGCGCGGTTTCTTGTATAAACACCCTGCGAGCACGAGTCCGACTCGTACTTGTTTGGCTTTTTTTTTATTTGTAATATAACTAAAACATTAAAATTGAAATATTTTAGTTATTATTGGTTAATATTTTCGTTCTTTCCGTTTCATTCTCGACAATAAAACAAACTCGATACGAGTGCCACTACCGCGATAGTTTTTTGTGCACAAGCCAATGGTTTTTTTTTAGTGTGTATGATGTTGGTCACGGATGACTTTTACAGCGTCACCGGGTTTGGGGACAGCGAGATCCTAAGGGGCCTCAAGCCAAGAATTGGTGAGTGCCTCTTCCAGGAGGTATTCTAGGCGGATGGCCTGACCCCACGGGGGGAGACTCCTCTCCGTCTGGAGCCTCTAGACCACTCAAACCTAACGGGGCGGCTTGGCTCAACTAAAGGGCGTCTCTGAGACAAGCCAATGTTGATAATCCTAGCGCGGCCGCCGAGCTTAGTTATGCAGAATGAAGTACATAAATGAGATTTTTTCTTCGCAATAAAGCTGCCACATGGGGACCATTCGCCTAACGGAAATGCTTTGGAAAACGCTAACGCTTACGATTTCATTTTGTTATTTCTAGCCGCCTGAGGTTTTCAAATGCCTCGTGCACTTTTTTTTTCTTTTGCATTGGTAATAACAATATTAAAGAAAATGAGCGTGTGGTATTTGAAAACCTTCGTCGGTCAGAAATAACAAAATGAAATCGAAAGCGTTAGCCAAAGCATTTCCGTTAGGCGAATGGCCCCCTGGACGTCCTAGATACGAGACTTATTATTATAATACGATAAAATAAAATATTTCTATGTTTCGTCCAATATATTGAAAGTAAACAACCTTTCCAATTTTATTGTTTTCGTCTTACAAATTTTCGATTAGGTCACGTGGCCTAATCGCGTCAGGACACGTGACCTAATCGAAAATTCGTCAACAACCTTTTCAATTTTATTGTTTTCGTCTTACGAATTTTCGATTAGGTACGTGTCCTGACGCGATCAGGCCACGTGTCCTAATGTGAGTTTAACATTTTTACCCATACCAAAAAAAAACTGTACAACGCCGCTAAAGAAGTTTTCACTTCAAAAATAAAAATTAAGATCTCATAATTCAGCATGGAGAGAGTAAAACAAGTTTTATTTCATTCCATTAGGAAAGAAGTTAAAACAAAAATATTGTCTGCATTAACTTTATAATTCAAATAAAATATGAATACCCACATTTTAGACATTCCATTTCCTTTCACTGTCAAATGTATAAATTTCATAAGCGCTCGCACAAATCTAAGGGCCTAAGCCTCTGGTGACTTTTTGCGTTACGACAAAAACTTTTCAGCCAAACAGAACCAACTATATATTGATTTAAACTTTCATGGTCACTAACATTATAGCTATTAACGGGATTTTTACCACGTACCGATATTTCGGCTTTGTTGCAAGCGCCAACCGAACTGTTGCAGAACCAACTATCTCGTTAAAGTGACGATATGAAACTCACATATATTAGTTTTATCCAAAAGCCTTTGTCAGCAAGGGTATAGGCAATGGACGATTTGACTAATAACAGATTGATATTGCTAATAATAATGCTAAACTAAGACGCAGACGCAAAAAACTTACTAGTTTTATTCAAAATTCTTCACCGACATACGTAGTAGCAAAGTGACAACGAACTAAAGAGTTTACTGATCACATTGCCATTTGTATTTTCAAGGCATGAATTTATTTATAATTAATTTGAACCTCATCATCATCATCAGCCTATTAATGTCCCCACTGCTGGGGCACAGACCTTCCCTATGGATGGAATAGGGAGATTGGGCCATGACCCACCACGCGGGCCCAGTGCGGATTGGCAGGTGCTAAAGACTGCAGATGCAGCCGGGACCAACGGCTTAACGTGCCTTCCGAAGCACGGAGGAACTCGAGATAGTAAATTTTTGGTCACCCATCCTATGACCGACCACTGCGAAAGTTGCTTAACTTCAATGATCGCAGCCGAACGCGTTAACCACTTGCGCATTCGAGCTCCTCAATGATAATTTGAACCTATTTCGTACAAAATATAATTATGTCGCTTCCAATGCATGTCGCAAATGCAAACACCGACCTATTTTATTAACAAAGTCTTTTTTTTAATGCTTAATAGGCAAGGCGTGTGACCACAGTCTCGCCTGATGGAAAGCGATGATGAGGCCTAAGGCCTAAATGACCTCGGCAAGCCGTTCCACTCCCTGGCCGTTCGCATAATGAAAGCGGAAGCAAATCGCTTCGTGCAAATGGGAGGAACTTCGACAACATAAGGGTGAAAGCTGAAAGTGAAGTCGCTTGAAAAATGCATGCTTGATTTAATCTCTATCAAAACTTCACCATTGGTGAAAGACTTAAGGGTAAATTTTATTGACGGCGGCGTCCTAAACGTTACGAAAAGAGTAATAAAATTAATATGATTAGATTTTACGTTTACCTTGAGATTTTATCTTCCAAATCTAAAACGGGGTTGCATTTAAGTTAAAACTGAACAGTATCGTAATTTTAAGAGATAAAAGTATTGTTTCGATGCTTTCTGAATTTGAATAATATCGAACTACCTAATAAATTTTAATATTTTCGACTAGCTTCTGAAAAGCATAACAAATTTCATAATATGCAATTTCACGTGAAACGGTCACAGCTTGATAAGTTTATTACGTAAAACTTAAGGTTTTACCTATACTCCACTGCGTGTGCCTACAAAACTATGGATTAAAAGTTAATTAGCAGTATTTTTTATGTAGAGGATACTTCTTAGTTCAAATACATATTCTACTATATCTATCCTACCTTTTTCGAATTGCATGTTTTATGATTGCTTCCATAATGTTCAAAATTAGTTTGGGACTTCACACAAAAAATGGTAAGAAAGCGTGATTTATTCCATTTTAGACTATCCTTGACGTGACAGATCCTTTACAGGTTCTTCGGTCGTAACACTTCTCTTGTTAAATGATTGGAATGCGTGAAGACTAAGATAAATATGATTAAAATACGATGCTCATTATTATCGAGGGTTTTTCCTTGTTTTTTACTAATTGAGGAGGTCGTCGGCGCAAGTGGTTGGCATAGCACATTCGGTCCTCGAAATCCTCCGTCCTTAGGAAGATTAAGCAGTTGGTCCCAGCTGCATCTGCAGTCGTTAGCACCTACCAATCCACACCAGGCCAGCATGGTGGGTCATGGCCCAAAGTCGCTATTTCATCCACAGGAAGACCCTGTGCCCCTGCAGTGGGGGCTTTAATGGGCTGATAACGATACCATTTGAAAATTGGAAACCTTATGTCATAATAGCGGCGCGGAACGGTCATCCATCGGCTTTATAAACTTACCTTGGAGTTGAGCATGATCTCGGGGGCTCTGTACCAGCGCGTTGCGACGTACTCCGTAAGGAACCCTGTGTGGTCGTGGTCAGGGTCGGCGACTCGCGCCAAACCGAAGTCGCAAATCTAGGCAAAAAAAAAAACGAAACATATTATTTATATTACTGTCGTCAGGCTGACAGTTGAACCAACTGATAAATGCCTGCACCCTACTATGGTATATTTTATTTTCTCAGTCCAAAATATTTATGTAATGCGATCTGAAATTCATTATTAGACTGTGCTAAAACCACTTCTGCGGATAATTGGTTCTAAGCCTTAACACTGAAGAAGTGTCTGTAATAGCCTGCGCAGACGATTAACAATTGACGCATAAGGGATTGAAAGTACCCCGTACATAAAGTCTTTCGAAAAAGCAAGGACACCGAGAGAGCGGACCACAAAACACAGAAAGAGGTTAGAAGGGTGATCATGTACCGTTTGTACGGGAAGCGATGTCGCCGACTCGCCCCTACTACACTTCCACCTAATAGATAATATCCAATCAAACGACGCTACATCAAACAATCGAACCAATCAGCGCTCAGACCAGAGAGAGACAACGCAATCAGAACCAGTTTTGGTCAAATTATAAGCATTTGCTCACATATAACTGTGGCGCGCCTGCCCCGCCCACAAGGCCCTTCTAACCTCTTTCTGTGTTCTGTGGACCGGACGGTACAAAAGAATGCGGGAGTTCCAGAATAAATTGAACTCATGTGAATTGTAGGTCATATTGATTCGAAGCGGAACTAAGTTCACTTTGCATTTTTCCATACTTATGTATTTCATATTAGCAACGATGGTTTCGCTTCAGGTCAGTCTTTTTTTAAGTGGCCGATTATACCCCCCTTGTAAGCGCTTCAGGCCTATAAGGGGTCGTTAAAAGCCTCAGAGTAAATTTTAAAAGCAACTTGAAGAGATTGATGGCTGAGTTGTGGTACTCATTTTTTTTAATGTTTTTAAAAGCTGATTGTACGTCCTGACCGTTAGCGCCGTCCGACGACTGTTGTGAAAATTATTTAGTGCTACGCTGACGAACGAACGAACGAATGACTAGGAAGCGTGTGTACAGTACAGTGTAGTGTACAGTGTAAAACCAAAATGTCAATGTCAAATTTTGTATGGAAACTTGAACAGCAGCGGCAAAAAGTACGTAACGAGAACTAAAAATCAGTACACATTTGACAATGACGTTTCGGACTCGCAAAAGATACGAATTCGATATTGGTTCGTGCTAGGGGTACAGTTCACAAGTACGCGCGTAAGAAATCAGAGAGCAGAGTATACGCGTTCATATCTATATATACACATATATATATATATTTGCATAGATATAGCTACGTCCAACCGATGACAGCCCCGACCGTCGGTCGAGCACTGTTGCCAGCCTAAGTATTAGTAGAGTCCAATTGCGAATATAGCTGATGCGGCAGAAAAACGTAGAACTTCCTTGCTGTAAAAAAATTTGGTCTCAAACTGCCTGCACTGACCCATGTATTGGCAGTTGTAAAGTATTTTGAACGGCCGTAGATATTACTCAAAATCCTATCCAAATGTAATATCACAAAATCTCTATTTTGTGGTAATATGCAGTAAATGAGGTCATAAAAAGGAATGTAATGGAAAAGCGTGGTACAGCTAATAGGTACGCTCTAACAAGAAGCACACTTCACAAGCATTTAATGACACCAGTCACAAATGCGAGTTCTTCATTCATTAATTAGTCTTTATGACTTACGTTGCAAACTAAATGTCAATGTTACTCAAATGTTATTACATTTATTTCACGTCAAGCTTAGTAGCTAATACAATGCGTTCTACTTTCTAAAAGCTATTTATTTTCAATCTTTTCAAATTTTATGTAGACAGCAGTAGGATAAGTTACGCAAAACTGTAAAATTTCTTGGAGCTTTATATCGCTGATCCGCAATTTGTTGAGAAAATTTGTCAGTTTGTTTAGGTAACCTATAAAAATACAGAAAAAAATTGCTGTTCCTAAATACTTCTACCGTAATCCATTTTAGGAATAATATTCCTACAATTTATGTTTTATAACGATACGACGACCTAAAAACAACTTAAACATGGATTGCGTAGAATAAGATGAAAATGTTTAAGACCTGGGGGCCATTCGCCTAACGGAAATGCTTTGGATAACGCTAACGCTTACGATTTTATTTTGTTATTTCTAGCCCCCTGAGGTTTTCAAATTACCATTTGACAATATTTAAAAAATGAGCGTGAGGTATTTGAAAACCTTCGGCGGTCAGAAATAACAAAATAAAATCGAGCGTTAGCATTTCCCTTAGCATTTCCGTTAGGCGAATGGCCCCCTGTTCAAAAGAACATCTATTACCTTAGTAATAATTAAATTAAATTTATTGTTTAGATCAAAAAACAGCTAATAAAGCTATAGAGCAGAGCACCAGCTACGTTAAGTGAAATAAAGTAAGAGTGGCAAGCAAAAGCTATGTAGCTCTCGATGAAGAGCCGACCAGGACATTACCTTGCTTACGGTTTATGGTACGACAGCGTGGCGACACCGTAAAACATGTTTTACCACTTACAAGCGAATTAAGGCCGCATGCGGCAGTTTTACGGTTGGACTTGGTATATCACTTTGTTGTGTTCGTCGTACGAAGGGCTCCAGAGACCCTCTTCATGTGCCATAAGGATCTCAAGACCGTGATGAATGACAAGGTCAATGGATTGTACAATACGAATGATTACTCACAATATTTTATAAGTGCGTACAAGAGATGTTGTTGTATTCTTTTCTGTTATATTTTTGCCTAGGGGAAAATACCGATACAATGTTATACCCACCTTATATCGTTATATAATGCATGTAAAAAACAGTAGGATTGAAGTAATATTAGAAAAAATACTAATTTTACGAACCTTTTCGATAGCTTATTAACAAAAAAAAAATACACAGTTCTCTGGCTAAACGATACTATCAATCCAATAAAATTTCAATTTAAATCAATGTCGTTTTTCTTAATTTATTTCTATTTTGCGTTACTTATTCAACGGGCTTTACGTAACAAAGAAAAAGTCATAAAGAATACCGGGCATCTAATTTCATTACACGACCAAAAAACTAAATCAAAATGTACAGAGACAAAAACCGGCCGAAACTCAAATGTAATATAGAAGAATTAAGTGACATAAATCCTTCCTTTTTTCTGAGCGAACCCGTCCCTATTCTCAAGATCAGTTACCTACTCTTTGTCTCAACTTGGCAAATTTAAGGAGGCAGAGAAGCTTACAGACAAAATGCTATTTTCTAAATAAATAATGTTCTTATTACAGACAACTTTTACGGCCTGCTCGAACAAAATTAAATGATACGAATTAAATTAGAATTGAGATAAAGTATTCAAATCAGATTCAATTTCCGAAGATAAAAAAATATTGTTTCTTTTTTCTTTAAAACGATTTATTTTGTCGCACTGAAATATAACAAGTTGAGAGCGATTTTGTTTGATGTTTAATATTTTCATCAAATCTCTCTTCTGTTTGAGCCATGCGGTCAAGTCGTCAGGCATATTAAGTATTTTGTATTGTTGAACATTTCCGAAACGAGCGGACTTCTATTTTCAACTTTTTTTTTACACCATCCCACCTGATTATATTACGTGAAGTGGTGTCTAAGTAATCTATACCAGCTACCAAAGCGGCGTAAAGTGTGTCACAAAAGAGATTGCTCAAATTGGCCCAAATGTACAAAAAATATTGACATATACGGTAATTATTGGCGTAATTTATACTTAATTTTACAGTCATTAGATTTTAACGGACACCTTTGTATAATATATTCATTTTAAAAAGGACTTTTAATTTTACCGGTTTGGAAAACATACGGATTATTTTTAATGGCTATGGGTGTAGTAACATTCAGCCAAAGACTGATCGAAGTTGTTTATAACATAAAAAAAAATCTATTTTGTAAAGATCGGTAAAATAAAACATTTTTTATTACACTGTGGTATTAATATCCACAACTATATTATCATTTTCACTACATGCAAATGTGCTTACACAATTATTACAGATGGTAAGCGACATCATAAAGTCTATTGCCATACATTTTTCTCCAAACACCTCCATAAACACATTATTAATTAGTATGATATTCTAAAAATCTAAAATATAGTTATAATATGAACATAACAAAAATAATGAAGCTACTGAAGATATGGCTGTATAACCCAAATCTCTTAGCTTTCTTTGGTTAACAATAGTTTAAAATTCTCTCTAATCTGTGGTTCATTCACAATCATCCCACAGTTTCCGTCACAGAGTACCTTATTATAACCGGAAATGCATAGATGATACCTGATTTGAAAAGTTACTCTTGTGTATTAACTTTAAAAATAGGCAACTATCTGTTAACGTACATCTTTATATATATAATTCTTCTGTGAGTGTGTATGTCACTGAACATCTCTTAAACGACTGGACCGATTTTGATGAAATTTTTTGTGTGTGTTCAAGGGGATCTGAGAATGGTTTAGATTCACAATTTTGTCCGCTGGACAACCCCTATTTTTTTAGGGCGGTACGAAGTTCGCTGGGTCAGCTAGTGCTCTATATACCTGAATCTAATACATAATTTCGGTACTTGGCTTGATTTTCCTAGTTTACTATATAACTTATTTGTTTTTTATTATTTTAAAACCTTTGTACCTATTTGAAAACATCACCTCAAAATCATTCAGTGTATATGGTTTTTAGAAGTTTTCAGGGGTGTCCGTCAATAATATTCGTTTCTACAGTAATTTATATATAATTTGGAAGCTAGGAAACAATTTTTCATGATTATTGGTCTTTAGGCGAAACATGTATGGAAGCTGAGCAATCTCCTTTTGGCTTTTAACCTCGTGCTTTGTGAAATTCTAATTTATCAAATGGTCTCAATATAGAAAAATGTTAGAAATGCCACTGCAATATTATCTCGTTTATTTGTCTATTAATGTTTTTTTAAATATTTGCAATTTGGCAGGACTTTCCCAGTGTTAATTTGCTCTTTTGACGAGTGAACTCTTAACAACATAAGTAGGTAAGTGCTAATAATTTAATTATCACGTTCACGTGTCAATTTCAGAAATTGCTCGGCAAACCAGAATACGTTAGACGCGTATATTATAATCAATATAATATCGCAAGAAGATAGAAACGGTTCAAATATATTCTCGTGAAAACATAAGACTCCAGCTTACTAGAAATCATATTAGGTTCCAAATGTTGCATATAAAACAAGTCAACGACAAATTAGCGAATCGAGGATATCGAAATCACTGCCATATGTTATAATAATGTGATAGTCAATCCACTACATGACGGGCGGAATACCACGGATGGGGGAGCCAAGAAAATAAAAGAATGTTGGGGCTGCACATTTCTCAAATCTAAAGTTCAATATCCTTTTTTCTGTTTAAGCTGTTCGTAAAAATACCGCGAGAGACTTTTATTTGGTATTCAGAAAATAACATTATACTTAAAATATAAGCAGAAGCTCGCGCCTGTCATTCTTTGTAAAAAATTTAATTGCCTTATTCATCCCCTAATTCATCTCACAGCAGTATGTTATATTTTCACGATCAAAAGTATATTTTCTTCTTCGAGGTCCTCTTCATTTCAATCCATACAACAAGTTATCTAAATAGCTTCAGCGGTTTTATCGTGAAACGTAACAAGATAGAAAGACGTCAACAAATGAGAGTATTTTGTTTTTCATTTTTATCTAATTTAGTGCAGTGCAGTGCATTAAACAAAATTTCTAAAGTCATGCCCTGAGGTACCAAGAGAAGCATAATATTCATTTACTAGGAATCTCTTTCTTTTCCTTGACATTAATCTGTAATAATTTGCATGTTTATTTGTCTTTAAGTGTTTGTCACGTGTCCTTGTTGAAGATGTCTAATATTATGTCTTTATCTCTAACTAAAGGTTCTCTCCCGACGTTTTGATCGTCCCAACGTTATTCAATATTATAATTACATAATGTGTGTTCGTCGTTACCTTCAAATCGCAGGTGGTGTTGAGTAATAAATTAGATGGCTTGAGATCTCTATGCAGGACATTTGCGGAGTGAATGTACTTGAGCCCTCGCAGGATTTGGTACAGGAAGTAACAGATGTGGTCGTTGCTTAGTTTCTGAAACAATAATAATACGGTAAGATTGATTTTCTGTGAAAGGAATGTACTCTAAAAAATAAGCGTTTTGTTATTATGGTTATTGTTTATCAACTCAAGATCGAGCCTGTAGCGTTGGGACTCGGGTTCTTCGTTTAGTTTGAGACCAAAATGCAGAATAAGTTTGAATTATTTATTTACAAAGGCTGATAAATGACGGATAACATAAAAAATAACTAATTACTACGACTCCGAAATCAATATTGGTGCTCCAGATTCTAACTAAGGCCCAGTAGACGGTGCAGCCTCTACCGTTGCATCACCCGTGTACTAAACCGAGCAGCAATTGAGCCCGTCTGTAAGTCAGGCCAAATAGGTTAGTGGTACCACACAGGAGAAGAGAGACCCAGTGTCCCAAATAATCCCGTCACTCGTCTGGCAGCGTTCGTGGGTGAGCGATGCAATTTCCCTAGGGGACCTAAAAGCCAGTTAGCTGATGGAATTGGCCACTGAAATGTTTCTATGTTGTTTTAAACTTTTACGGTTACGGTTACATTATAGTAATTTTATTATTTTAACTTTGAATTGCAACCATGTACCTTGTTTTTAGCGAGTCGAGAAAAACAAGGTACATGGTAGCAATCCGATAAATAACATAAATTTCCATAATGAAGTCTTTTCTTTAGCTCGTATATCCATCAACTCGTTTACTATATCAACACAGCTTCATTACCCTTTTCAATATATACGGATATAAATTTTGCTTCCCTACTTATGTGTTAATCTTAGGAGGATAATATAAGCCCCCTCCATCCTGATGTAAGAACAAATATGTGTTGCGATCAAAATTGTGTTATGTGATGTATAAACAGCCCCTGATAGGCAGTCAACAGAACAAATAGTTTGAAGGGATCTCATTTGTCCGTTGTTTTAACATGCGATGAAAGTAGACAACAAAACAAATTGTTCTCTGCTTTCCCGATATATTGCGTACATAATCCCATATGTTAGGTAACATTGATCCCGAAAGGCTAAAGTAAACATATTCGGAAAATGTCGGTATATATGTTACAGGTTTGATATTTACGATATTATTTGTTTCGTATCAATATCCGGAAAACATCTTGAGTCAAGCACCTGTCTTTCTACTGTTTAAATCAGCGTTTCCGGTTCCTCTCCGATTGTGGCGCTCTCTGTGTCGTGACTCGGAACTTTGCCGCGCACCGGGTGATGTCCGCCATTATAGCGTTGTTTTTCGCGCCGTATACAAGTCAGCATAGAATTTTGATAAAATTTACGCGAAAAGTGTTAATTTATTATCGTTATTTAAATAACTCGGTTTCTTCTCCTATATTTATAATGGAGAACCAGATAGGGAAAGTGAAAAAGCTTTTTCAGAAAGTGTTGCTGAAAAATCTAACCCCCGGAAACGAGTACGTACTCTATCAACGGGTTCTGGCAGCGAGGATAGCAAATCATCAACGAGCTATAGCAGCGGTCAATATATCTTGATCGCACCGAATTGGAAAAAAGTGTATTGACGAGCCGATGTTCAACGACGGGCACTACAACCTCCCTTTCTGATTCCAGACCTAGTGCAAGTCCTTTTAGACACGAGGACGGGCACCCACCCACCAGAAGTACAGGACCTGCAATTGGAGGCATGGCTGATTTTGGGTAGCAAGACATGCTGACAGAGTGGACTGCTGAAGAACAAGCTCTGCTAATATCGAGTTGGCGAGGCTCCACCCTCAACATTTATAGACCGGCGTGGAGGCGATAGAAAAACTGGTGCGAGGCTCATTCAGTTGATTACAAATACCCAACTGCAGACCAGGTCGCTCGTTATTTAGCACACTTACATTGTGACGTTGGTCTAGCTTATAGAACCATTTTAGTTCATAAATCTGTGATTGCCACCTTTACACATTTAACCTCTAGAATAGATTTATCTTCTAACTTCTTTGTAAAACATATGGTGAAGGCCATATCGGTAGCAAGAGAGAAGCCAGTTAAACCACCTATTTGGAATCCTAAATTGTTGATAGATTACCTATGTTCATATAGTTTTGATGAAAATAATCTATATTATCATGTTTCAAGGCACACTGCCACATTGTTATTACTTTCACGATTTTACATTGCTACGCATAGGTGTTAACAATTTAATAATTAATAATAGAAGCCTTTTACTATGGCCTGCCTTTGGTTCAAAAACCGATACTTCCGATCATAGACAGTCTGGGTGGAGGCTAAAACAGCATTTTATCCACAAATTAAATTCTGTATTTTGGATTCAACAATTACTTAAAATTTCTGTCGTAAAAATTTTGATAGTTTGTTTATCACTGATAGAGGTGAAATAAAACCTGCATCCAGAACAGTGAAGGCGGTTGGGTAAAATCGCTTTTGAAAGAAAGTGGTATCGATGCTACTCCAGGGTCTGTACGTTCAGCTGTGGCGTCCCTTAATTTTATAGTATATATATCTTGTAATATTAAAAATTACTATAAAAAGGAACTAAAAATCGTGATTCTCTTGATCCTCAGAAATCTGTGTCTTTAGCCAATTATTTTGAAGCCGCGAAAAGAATAGGTTGTTGTTAATTATTTATGTTGTTACATAAAAACATGATTAATATTTATACAAAAGTTGATATGTTTTTTCTTTTCACATCATACCTGTTTTATTTTAATCTGCATCTAAGTACACATTATAGTGTCTATAGCCTCTCGCACCAGGTGCTAACAAACAAATCACTCAAGATGGATTCCGGATATTGATACGAAACAAATAATAGAGAGTTTTACCAACAAATAAATCTTACCTATTATTTTTTCTTTAATATCCGGAATCCAGGTAAGTGCTACCTGGGCGCATCATCCATCCATCCATCAGCCTTTCTCCGTCCACTGCTGGACATAGGCCTCCCCCATAGAACACCACAATGCGCGGTCCTGGGCGCATTGTAGCGTTCTATGGGGAACATGAGACCTATAATGGCGGACATCACCCGGTGCGTGGCAAAGTAAGTTTCGAGTCACGACATAGAGGGCGCCACAATCGGAGAGGAACCGGAAACGCTGTTTTAAACGGTAGAAAGACAGGTGCTTGACTCAAGATGGATTCCGGATATTGAAGAAAAAATAATAGGTAAGTTTTATTTTTTGGTAAAACTCTCTATTAAGAATACCTATATTACATTTCTATAAATTATGAAAAACTTCCCAAAATTTTGAAATAACACCTCACACTTCTTTACAACAAAGTGTGATATTACGCAATAATTTATTAATCATTTGTAAAAATAATGTGTGTAAACGCCACCAAAGGAGCGAATTTAGCGAAAAGTTAAGATTTGATGGTCGATAAACTTCACAGTATCCATAAAGCTTTGATAGCCTATTTGTGGACAGGGTTATCTATGTGATGAGGGTGTGATAGCTGTAATGACTAGAAAAATAAATAGCCTGCTCGTACGAAAATAGACAAACACAATTTATTACATCTATCTTACACGATCACATTTTACTGCACTTCAACAAGATTGTTTTCTTAGTTGGTTGTAGGTAAAATTACCTAGTGGATAAGGTAAAAAATACGAAATTACTTATTAGCATCTAAAGTCAACTAGTAAGAATAAAATTTTGCTAGTTACAAATGACAAACAACGAAACGGCTAAAGTATGTGGGCAACAACAACAACAACAACAACATCCATAAACAACTGAAATGAAAATGAGGTCGTCACAAGAATATATTTCGTTACCTGTGTTTTTAACAATTTGTAGAGATCCGTTTCCATTAAACACTGCACGATGTAAACATCCTTCATTTGATCAATACTGTCCGCCCTTAAAATGTCTCGAATGTCGATTATCTGAAACCAATTTTATTTTTTTAGCCTGAAAGAAATGATTTATGGGTTTAGCTAAATTCATAAAATGTCTTCATAAAGTTTTAACAGAATATGACAGTCGAAAAAAATAAGCAATCAGAACTTTTCCGAGGGTTATCGAAGTTTTAAGAATGATGACTTGTCATCAAATTTGATTTTAATTTAATTTGAAATAAAGTAATAATAGCACTTCGTACAGTTATAAACTTTGATAAAGTCATTCAAGCATTTACATTAATATCTTAAATACAGAAACATTGTTAAAATCCCACTCCAGATTGAAATAAAATCTTAGAGCGTGGAAGACTAGCGTACTCGTACGTCTACCGATTTCCCTTTACATTTTAAATTCAATTTCTTGGCGGTACTTGCGTTTAAGCCCCTTAGCGGCAAATTCTATTGTTGTCTAAAGTGTCAAGTTAGTTTTACTTACATTTTCGTGCTTGAAACGGGTGAGGATTTTGATTTCCCGTAACGTCCTCTGGCAGTAGGTCTGGTGTTCGAAAGGGGATATTTTCTTAATGGCGACTTTCGTCCTCTTTATGTTGTCGAAGGCCGACCTGGGAAAATAATAAAGGTCGTAAATCATGCAGTCGGGTATATTGTGTCTGCCCACGGTGGTGAGGGTAGGCTTCGCCTAACACACATCACATTATTCAATATCGGTTAGCAATATAAATGCCCTTTTTGGTCATGCAAAATATTACAACGTAGGTAATTTTACGGCTATCGAGTTGTAATATATATAATATATAATCATTTTTACACTTAAGCAATATATGTTTGTATTTATGTAATTATAAATCTAATCGTGTTCTTTATCAATTTTTTATAGCGAAACACCGGCTACCATACAGGCCCTGTTATTGCTATCAGCGTTGTCGTGACAAGTTTAGTTACATGTCACGGCAGCATTATGCTGAGGCAGGGTCCTGATTGACCAATATAACAACCGTTATATTAATCAATGTTTGTGATGATTACTTTCTATATATCTTTTCATTTCAGCTGTTTATAATTATATGTTTGTGTACTTTTATTGGTAAATAAAATGGTTCTCTCTCTCTCTCTCTCTCAGAATAAGTAAAGGTATGCGTACCTCAGTAGCAGATATTTTCTCAGTGAGATGAAAGAAAATAGGTACCTATATAAATATAGATACCATTTAAACAGGCAACAGTCAAATTAAATTTTATTATCTTTTTTTATAACAATCTAGATAGAAATGAAACTTAAACTACAAAATTTATTGTTGATTTGGTATTTATCTAAAAAATAAAAGCACTTATGATGTATTTCAATACAACTCAAATAGTCTAACAGAAAACAGCTGCAGATATGTTTGTCCTGGAGAGTCTGATGTTAGTATAAGTGACAAATAGCTAAGTACTCCGTAAAATATTGTGGCATCCAGGTCTGGGGGTTCTAAATCTATGGGAAAGACTGAAGATTAAATAAAATGCACATGCATTTTATTTTACGCAATCTTGACTTTATGAGAATATATTTGAATTAATATGATTAAGAAGAACTGTTCTTTTTTTCTTAGACCAAGCAAAGCTATAATAATTCCTTGGTCTAAGAAAGTAATTTTCTACAAGAAGAAAGTTTTGTAGAGTTCTGCGTACGAATCGAAAGTATTTCCTATAAAAATAGACGATTCGCGAGCAAACTTCTATTTCACGAATGAATGGCTATACTAGTTATCGGGAAAAACTTATCGGAGACCAATTTATGACTTCAAGTAGCCGCTAAACTATTGATCTTTATCGAGTCTTTATAAAGATACCTACTCAGAAAGATACCAGTTACATCATATTATTCGGATATCAAGAAATTAGTAAATAAGATTGGTTTATCTCCCTAAGCAATACACCGATATTTCGATATATTACGATGATTGTTTTCGATAAAATGCTGAAGTCGGACTCCACAGGTAAGACAGTTTCAGCCGAGTTTGAGTTTGTTTAATAACGAATTATTTTGTTTGTTTCGTTTCTGGCGTTATTAGTTGGACTTTAAAAATCATTGTGTTAAATCATTTGATATACGATAAATAAACCTTGTGTTATGTGTATTTAAGATTTTTCTGCAAAAGATAACAGACATTCGCATTTTTTTTATAATTGCTAAATAATTAGAATCACTGCTTAAAGAAAATAGAAGCGAAAGTACTTAACTATTGATTATTCCTTAAATAGTTTTCCTAATTCAAAGTTCAGATAATGATAATGGATTTGGTTTAGCTTTTTAATTCGCTAAAAGGCTAGGGATTACATCTGGTCTACGTAGACGAAGTAATCAGCTAGCAGAAACTAATTTTGGTTCCCATTACGATTTCATAAACACAAAAGAGACTAGCAGTACATACTGTAAATCCTGAATGGGATAGGCCTGGGAGCGTAGCTAGTAGAACGTAGCAATTATTACAATAAGAACACTTAGGATGCTCATTTTTGTTTTATTTAAACTGAGAGAAAATTACAATCGTTTAATATTAACCTAACGTTTCTGCGCCTGAGTTCTATTTGCTGGAATGTTAGATATGAGACAAAAGATATTATATTGAAATCTTTAAAATAATGACATTTACTTTTTAATATAACTGCTAGCCGTAGACATTACATAAGCAAAGAGTTTACACAAGAAAGCAGGCCGTAACGCTACGGGCGTTACAATGCTTACAATAAGGCAGCTGAAAGATATCTATAGAGATCTAGAGTCTCTAGAGTATCTTAATCTGTCTAATCTAGAGTATCTGAATCTCTTCATATGACATTAAATTTTCCGTTTTCTTTTGTATGAACACTTGGCACTTTTCGTTTAAATTAAATTCTTTTGTACTTATCACAAGACCTGCAGTGCAGTGCGATTCCATATTACCTGCCTAAATGTTCTATGGCTATTTAGAAAATTATTGAACCCTCTCCATTTTGAAGTCGGTTCAAAATTTATGGATAACTTAATTTCTAAGAAATAAAGGAGCTGTCACTGTCTAGTCATCAATGAGTTCTTGAAAGCAAAGCACAATCGCTCCTACATGTCAGTTAGCTACGTTAGTTTCGTTGAGAATAATACAGTGCTTACAAGAAAGTCAGGCCTCTAATTGATTGTGTACCATAATATGACAGGCGAAAGAAGCAACTATAATTCTAGATCTACTTTTTGGAGATATGAAAGGTCAGTAAAATGGGTTTTCTAGGCCACACCGAATGCCAGTTGATCGGTGACAATTAACCGAAAACCCAATATGTATATCCATATGCCATTTGATCGAATGACAAATAAATCAATAGATCAAAATAACTAATTAGATCGATGTGTTATAAGATCAAATTGCAATTAATCGAATGCCTAGATGATCGATGTGTCAATAATCGAAGGCAGGATTGATTTTTCAAAGAAATAATGAAAATCCCAGAATTCTAACAGTAACATTATATTTATATGTCAAAATGTCAATACTTGTATTGCAGCCTGTACCCTTAGCACGAACCAATATAGAATTCGAATAATTTGCGAGTGCGAAATGTCATTGTACACTTTTATATGGAAACTTGAACAGCAGCGCCAAAACGGACGTAACGAGAACTAAAAATCTGTACAGATTTGACGTTCAATTATTCGAAATTTCGATCTAATATCACAGCGATCTATTGAAAATCGATTTATTGGAATTTCGATCTAATGTAACAGCGATCTATTGAAAATCGATTTATTGAAATTTATAAGAAATGGCAAATCGATATATCGGGTTTTCGGTGAATTCTCACCGGTCCACTGGCATTCAACATGGCGTAGAAAACCCAGTAAAATATGTCGGTAGAAGAAAATTTAAAAGCCCATTTATTCAGGGCTGTTAAATATTTAACGATTCTTAATTAATGTATACTGTATTTACCTTTTGATTACTTTAGCTGAAACAACGGAGAGACAAGAATTAGGAAAAAAATCCTCAAATTTTCTTCTGGCTCCGTTGTCCCAGTCCCCTATGAATAAAGTATAAGCGTTGTACATAACGGGGACGGCAATTCTGCCACAGCGCTGTGATACAAGCAAAACAAATGACAAATGACCTTAGTAAACAGCGATCCAGGGTGTAAAGAATTTAGTAGGTACCATTTATAAATCAAACAATAGCAACCCTGAAGCTAAAGGGAGCGGTAAGATTTTCGTAGGCATCATTTTGGACAAAGGTACTCCTTGTTTCTATACTTTTAAATCTTCAATGAAGTTGATTTAAAAAACTGGAAAATGCTTAAATTTGATTAATAGTGTATATTTGTCGTGTTTAGCGGCCAAATAAACTAAATAGTAAACTCGTATAATGTGGTGTTGTTTAAAAATGGAACGGTTTTTTGCTCTGAAACATAGTAAACAAAGAGGTAACTTAACAAAGGTTTTATTTAAATTTCGAACTGGCATGCATATAAAAAGCTGTTTATTTAAAAAAACCGACATGTGCTGTTCACGTGCGATAGAAATGAAACCTACAAAAACGTGAACAAGTAAAAGTCCTTCATGACCCGCATAGGTATTCTGTAAGATGCAATCTCACTTTATTCTCGATCTCATTTATTCGGATTTCTGACAAATGTCAAATATCTAATACTGGCTGCTTCTACAGATATAACGACATTTTGCCGTGTGAGGGCGTAATACATATCAAACTCATGCGACATCGTCGGCATTACCGTCAGGATCATTTGAGTAACGTTGTCAAGCTCCTACTTGAAAATACTTATTTTCATGATATTGAAGTAATTTTACTGAAGTTAGAGAGAAAAGTAACGTCTATTCTGTGACCGACACTACACCTTGACACTGTGATCTTACAAACCTAATATATATTAAAAAAAAAACATGAATAATTTATCGATCGATACGTCATTGTTTGAACAGTCAGTATATAAGAAAATATAACAATTATTTAAAAGACTTACAGTGAAAATTTTATCAAAACTCCACCCCATAAAACCACTAACAGCTGAACTCACGACGCAATCTCGTAAATGACATTGTAGCAAGAAAAATAATATCTAAAAATTGTTGTCATTATAAAAACATAAAAGTAACATAATTTTGCCACCATACTTAAGTATTTTTTCTATCAAAAACAGATATTTATTTTTTAATTTATAGCAGACTTAAGCCTGGAATTGCCCTTCTGATTTAATGATTTTTTCTGAACCCTCTCGATTCTATCGATATGTTTCCTACAATATGGTTTCCACACTGCGCAAGCATACTCTAATCGGCTACGGACAAAACAATTAAAAAGTGTTTTATATGTTAAATCATTTTTGAAAGGCGGAGAATAAAGCCAAGCTGTTTCTAAGCTGTGTTTGTTGTATTTTTTTTTTCCATTTTCATAACAAGAACCTCTTAGTCATGTATGATCTCCTGGTTCTTTTTCCGGAATAATGATTTTATAAATATATGGTATGGAATATGGAATGGATTTTTTAAGTTGAATATGATTTTGATCATATTTTGTTATATCCGCATTAATGGTGTTCATAGAAAAGCGATAGTGGAGTAAAATCTAAATTCGGTGGTT